TTCATTTCATCCTTGTATGCTTTTTTCTTTCTCATATTTTAATTTGCATTCTTTGATGTGCATGCTTCTAATAGGAATTACAAAGACTTAATAAACAAATACAATGGTCTTGCACGAGAAGCTCGTGAGAGCAAAAAACTGGAGCAGGAGGCTAAAAGATTAAAAAACTGAAGGTAAGTTTGTGATGGAATGATCTTAATTGAATCTCAATTGATGAGTGAAACCTAATTTAGTGAATGTTTTTTTTGGCTATTATCAGACAAGGGTACCAATGATAAGTTGACACATGGCAGTATCTCAATGGTGGTTGACATGTCAGATTATATGGTTGGAAATGGGTGTAATTGGTTGTGGTTAGTTAGAATCTAGAGGATAAGATTTGTTAAATAGATAAAGAAGGGCAGCTTAGTCAGTAAGTTGTTGGTTGACATATAAAAGCATTGTAAACACTCTACATAATTCATTCAATACAATCAGAGCTTTCTCTCTATTTCTCAAACACTTCTTTCTTAGCTTTTCTCTTTCGAATCCTTTTTCATAGCTATGGTGTCATATCCCAACCCGGGGTCCACCACATCCCGGGCCCGCTCCACCACCGTAGCACGATATTATCCGCTTTGGGCCTCGACCACGCCCACACGGTTTTGTTTTTGGGAACACACGAGCAACTTCGCAGTGGGTCACCCATCCTAGGAGTGCTCTAGCCTCCTTCTCGCTTAACTTCAAAGTTCCTATAGAACCCGAAACCAGTAAGCTCCCAAAAAGCCTCGTGCTAGGTAAGGATAGGAATATACATTTAAGGATCACTCCCCTGGGCGATGTGGGATGTTACATATGTATAGCTAGAGATACATCTGTTATCATGGTATCAAAAGCCATCGATTTGTTATGGGTCAACAAATGTTCTTGGGCTCGACAATTCTGGGTTTTTTGGGGCGCTGAAGATTTTATAGCTATGGATCTGAGTACATGTCGATCTCAGGTGATATGTTTCATTTGGTGATTTTCTTGCTAAAGTTTTAGGGCACAAAGCCATTTTTTCATCTTGTTGAAGTTTTAGGGCACGAAGCCATTTTCTTGTTGAATTGTTGAGGCACAAAGCCATTTTCTTGCTGAATTGTTGAGGCACGAAGCCATTTTCTAGCTAAATGTTTTAGTCACGAAGCCATTTCTATTGTTTTTGGGCATGAAGCTATTCTCGGGTGTTCTGCAATTCTTAGGTGTTAATTGTTGTTATCTCTGTGCAATACTTTGATTCGTGAAACATGACTGTTCTTGGTGTGAAAATTGAGGGAGTTTTGGGGATGTTGACAATTAAACTGAATGATCGCAATTTTTCTAAATGGGCTTTTCAGTTCAAATCAGTCTTGAAAAGGTATAAGTTGTTTGATCACTTTGATGGATCTGCTGTGTGTCCTTCAAAATATGTTGTTCATACAGAAAATGGGGTTACTACAACAATCACATAAGCTTTCTTAGAGTGGGAATCTGTTGATATGGCTTTGTTCAATTTACTTCTTGCTACCTTGTCTGATGAAGCAATTGAGCATATTATTGGATGCAGAACTGCACATGATGCTTGGTCTAGCTTACAAGATAGGTATGCATCAATGTCCAAGGCTAGAGTTTATACTCTAAAGACTGAATTTCAAACTTTGCAGAAATGAGGAGATTCAATAGATCAATTCTTGTCAAAACTCAGGGCCATTAAAGAACAATTACTTAATGTTGGAGAAATTGTTTCGAATAATGACTTTGTCTTGGCTGCTTTATCTGGGTTACCTCGAGAATATTCTACCATTAGGACATTGATTCTTACTTGGGATACTTCTATCACATTGAGAGAATTTCGTGAGCAATTGTTATATGCTGAAAGAGAAGCTGAATTTCTTTTGAATACTCTGTCTCATAATTTCATAGGATTATATATACAAGGATCATCACAAGGTTCATCTCAGGGATCTACTAGTAATTCTGGAGGGGTTCCATGTACAACTGGTGGTGTTTTAACTCAGATGCCAAGTGGGTCTTCATCATTTGGAATGCAAGTTTCTGGTTTCTCACAAGGCACTGTTTCAGATAGTGGTTCCTTGCCATTTCCACTTATTTCAATACCAGTTTCTTCTACTATGCCACTGATGTATCCTCAAGTTCTTGGAAATCAGTTTTTTTTCATCATCAGCTTGTTTCCCGGGATACTCTGAGTTTCCAAATGCATATGGTTTTGTGGGAAATGTTGCTGCTCCAAGGAAGTTTTCTAATACCAATGGAAGTCCAAGGTCTTTCAGGCCTAATAATAATGGAAATGGGAATGAGAGTTTTCGATCTTCACAAGGTAGGAATAATACAAGTCATGGCAGAGGGCAATCTTCTGGTACCAGGCAGAATAATGACAACTGGAACTCTTGGTCTGGTAACACTGAAACAAGGTCACATATTGTCCCAGAGGGTCAGATTTGTTTCAAAAGAGGGCATACTGCTCCAAATTGCTGGAAAAGGTCTACAAATCCAAGCTCAAATGGTACAGTAGTTGAATGTCAGATATGTGGGAAAAAGGGTCACAATGCATTGGACTGCTATCATAGGAACAGTTTTTCTTATCAAGGCAGTGTACCATCAGAGTCTATAACTGCAATGCAAGCACAAGTTCAGCTAACTTACTTGCCAAGTGACTCTTGGATTGTAGACACAGGTGCATCACATCACATGATTGCAAATGTGAATGCTCTTCAGCAAGTCAATGCATACAAGGGTACTGATAAAATTACAATTGGCAATGGGGAAAGTTTGCCCATTCATCACATTGGATCTGCAAAATTGCACACATTACCTCATTCTTTAATTTTGAGAAATGTGTTACATGTGCCTATTATTGTGGTAAATATGTTATCTATTAAACGACTTTGTAAAGATAATTTATGTTGGTTCATATGTGATGAGAATGATTTCTTTGTGCAGGACAAGGTAACCAAGGCTGTGCTATACCAAGGAAGGAGCAATGATGGAGAGTTGTTTAAGATTCATACCAAGTTGATTACAAATGCTGCAGTAAAGTCTCAAAATAAGCTAACTGGATTACTTGGTCAGAAAGTAAAGCATGTGATTTGGCATCAAAGGTATGGACATCCTAGCAATGAAGTTTTGTCTACAATGTTGAAGCAATCTTAGATAGATAGTTGTGCAGATGATACACAACATATGTGTTCATTTCTATTTCAGGAAAGATGACTCGATTACCTTTTGTAGATAAGAAAGACAAATGTGTATTTCCTTTTCCAAAGATTCATTCTGACCTTTAGGGTCCTTCACCTACTAAATCCATTGAAGGTTTCAGATATTATGTCAACTTTGTAGATGAATTCTCTAGATATGTTTAGATATTCCCATTGATTAATAAATCAGAAGTCTTTGATATCTTTCTCAAGTTTTATAGTTTAGTATCAACTCAGTTTAATGTTGGTATTAAGTGCATTCAAACTGATGGAGCATGAGAGTACATGAGTAAACGATTTCAGAATTTTCTAGCACAAAAGGGTATAATTCATAAAGTTTCATGTCCATATACCCCTTAGCAAAATGGAGTTGCTGAGAGGAAACATAAGCATATTGTGGAAACAGTTATAACACTCATGACTGTTGCTAGTTTATCTCAAGAGAGTTGTGGTTTCATGCATGTGCTCATTCTGTATTTTGATCAACAGGATGCCATGTAAGACTTTAAGTTTGAATTCTCCATATCAAATGCTATTTGGTGATGTTCCTAGGCAGCAAGAGTTGAAAGTGTTTGGTAGTGCATTCTATCCATATATTAAACCATACAATGAAAAAAAGTTACAACCAAGAGCAGTGTTATATGTTTTTCTTGGCTATGCACATGGATGCAAAGGTGTTATATGCTATCATCCACAAACTAGAACATTTATTATTTCTAGCCATGTTATTCACAATGAGGATGTGTTTCCTTGCAAGATCAGTTCTGCAATATTCAAAGATCAATCTCAGGATATGTCTTATACTCAGGAAGCTACAAATCACAGATCATCTGCAATATTTGTTCTTCCAGTACATTCTCCAAATGCTAACATAATATCAAACACTGTGAATACGTCTCCTAGTAATGAAGTGCAGCTTTCTGGTTCTGAGTCTACTATTCCAGTGGTACAGTCACACTTTCAAGGTTTAAGCACTACATTTGACAATTCTACATCATCTCCACAATCTGAAACAACTCTCCTAGCTCTACAAACAGCCTCAGTGTTACCTATCCTTCATCCTGCACAATTGGAGGTAATTCTTCCCTTTGAAACATCTAATATTGGTAATGCCTCACATTGTGATACTCACACTCACAGGATGCAAACCAAGTTGCAAACTAGTGCTATTTCTCGAAAAGATTACTCTAGTTATTGCATCTTTGCCTGAGTTGTCTACTTTGAGACTAGATGATATAGATACATGTCAAAATGGTTTTTCTTTTATGGCTCACATTAATGATATTGCTAAACCAACATCATTTCAAAGTGCTGCAACAAACACTGGCAGAATGCAATGCAAGAGGAGTATGATGCACTTAGGAGTGAAGGTACTTGGAATTTAATTTCTCCACCACTCACAGGGCAGTTATTGGAAGTAAATGGGTGTACAAACTAAAGAAGAATCTAGATAGATCGATTTCAAGATATAAGGCACGTTTGGTGGCTCAGGGGTATTCTCAAGAACATGGTTTGGATTATTTCAAAACTTTTATTCCTGTGGTTCGACACACTACTGTGAGACTCATTATTTCACTTGCATCACAACACAAATGGGAATTGAGACAACTTGATATTAAAAATGCATTTTTGCATGGTGACTTAGAAGAAGAGGTCTACATGCACCAACCACAAGGATTTATTGATCCTCAGTATCCAAATCACGTTTACAAGTTGGTTAAGTCTCTCTATGGCCTTAAATAAGCACCTCAAGCATGGAATGCCAAGTTTACTGGATATCTACCTGCAATGGGGTTCATAATGTCACAATCTGACACTAGTCTATTTGTGAAATATGATGGAGTGGATGTTATTGCATTATTACTCTATGTTGATGATATCATTTTAACTGGTTCTAATCCAAAAAAGGTTCAACCAGTTATTACAGAATTAGGGGATGTGTTTGATCTCAAGGATATGGGCAAATTATCATACTTCTTGGGGCTGCAGATTACATACAAATTAAATGGAGATATTTTTCTCAGTCAAGCTAAATATGCCAAAGACTTGCTTCACAAGGCAGGAATGGATAATTGTAAATCTGTGAATACACCATGCAAACCTCATTCTTAGTTTCTTGATTCAGAGGGCATCCCTTTGCCTGATCCAACATTCTATCAAAGTGTAGTAGGAGCTTTGCAATATCTTACATTCACACAACCTGATTTGGCATATGCTGTTAATGTTGCTTGTAAATATATGAATACTCTCACTGAGGTGCACATGATCTGGTCAAAAGGATCCTACGCTATGTGCAAGGTACACTTGAATATGGTCTCACTTATTCAACCTTAATAGATCCATCCCTTGTTGCTTTCTCATATTCAGATTGGGCAACTGACCCCAATACTAGGAGATCAGTCACTGGTTTTGTTGTTTATCTTGAACATAATCCAATCTCATGGTAGTCTAAGAAGCAAGCTTCTGTTTCCAAAAGTTCAACTAAACCTGAGTATAAATCTCTTGCTCATTGTGCTGCTGATATTACATGGATTCGAAATCTGTTAATGGATTTGCATTAGTTTTTACCTGAACCTCCTCTCATACACTGTGATAACTTGTCAGTCCTTGCTCTATTTTCAAATCATGTCTTTCACACCAGAATCAAACATCTTGACACTGACTTCCACTTTGTTCGATAAAAAGTTCAAAAGAATGATATACTGGTACAATATGTACCCACTGAGAAGCAAACAACTGATATTTTAACCAAAGGATTACATAGTCCAGTGTTTTTTAAACATTGTTGCAATCTTAGGCTTGGATCCCCAGCCAAGATTGAGGGGGGATGATAAGTGACACATGGCAGTATCTCAATGGTGGTTGGCATGTCAGATTATATGGTTGGAAATTGGTGTAATTGGTTGTGGTTAGTTAGAATTTGGAGGATAAGATTTGTTAAATAGATAAAGAAGGGTAGCTTAGTCAGTAAGTTGTTGGTTGACATATAAAAGTATTGTAAACACTCTGCATAATTCATTCAATACAATCAGAGCTTTCTCTCTATTTTTCAAACACTTCTTTCTTAGCTTTTCTCTTTCAAATCCTTTTTCATAGCTATGGATAGCTGGAGATACATCTGTTATCAACAAGAACTGGAGACAGTTGTCAAAGTAAAAGATAATGAAGTTTTGAGGGCTTTAAAAGCTTCAAAGACAACTCGGGGTGAAGGAATTATGCAGAATGGTGGATTATGTAACACTAATTCAGTGTCTGTCAACAGTTCACCAGAAGTTCAAACAAAACATCCTTATGCTTCCATCCGTAACTTGGATAGGACTGAAAACTTGGAAAATGATCTACTGTGTTATAGGAAAACAGAAAACTCAAACTTCACTGACCATGTGGATCTAAGTTGTACTAAAATGGTACAAGCACCATTGCTCATGATAAAGTAAGAGATGCCTACTCTTTAATAGATAAGGATGCTTCAAAACTTTCTACAGCTAAGCGTGGACTTTCAAATCCCTAATTGAAAGAATAAATCTATGAGGATGTTGTTAACTAGAAGTGCACTTGATTGAGGTCAGATGCAGTTTCTGATACTAGGAAAGAAACACCCACTTGTAACGATACTGCCAGGACTCCTGCTGCTGACATTGCTGATGTTGTTATTCTTGATGATGGTGAACAAGATTACCCATGTTTAACATTAGAAAGGAGCCTCATATCCCACAACCGCATCCCAGACCAGGTACACTATTGAAGCAATTTTTTGAGTTACTGTGCAAGATATCATGAATGAGTACATTTTCCGTAAGATTTATGTGATGAGAATGTAATTTTGTTTTTGTTATTCCAATTCAAAATACAGGGGATGTTTGATTTTCTGGGGACTTGCTTGGGTTTGATGGAACAAAAAGGTATTTAGGTAAATGGTGCATGTGGGATCTGAATCAAAGTTCTGGTAATTTGATTGTTGTAGGAGCTGATGGAAGAGTGGTAGAATCAAAGTTCTGAGAGCACTGAATCAATCTACAGTGGTGAGTGCATGTGCTTGTTTTCATTCAATATTTGTCTAAAACTTAGATTGCTTGGTTCCACGATTTGTAATTTTGTAAGGGAATCTGTAATTCATAGTCGGAAGGGTTAGAATAAGAAGAAGTTTTAAACTTGAGTGTGAGTACCTCAAAGAGCAGTTGGCGGCGTTAAAGTTACTTTCTTTGCTGAGGGAAGGGTTGCAGGGGTGGTAGAAATGTCAAAACTTTGGATAATTCAGTGATTCATTTTGTGCTAGATTATAACCACAAATATTATTCTTACCATCTATTTATATCATCATTTGTACCATCTTTGTAATAGAGATGAGACTGCATGCGTTTTCGGACCCTATTTCTTTTAGAGAAATAGTCAAATGATGATACAAACAGATGATATATGTAGCACTACTACTCGATTATAACAGCTTGATTTCTGTTTACGTGGTTTTTACGATGCAAGTCTTGTTCCAGCTTTTGTCAATCCAAGATTCCAAGGTGCAGGCAAGTACACAAGTTGCAACAGCAACTTCAAGTGAAATATGAGGTAGGTACACTATTAGCTATCTTCCTTCAATATACTTTTAAATAATGCTCATTTTTATAACAAAAAAAAGAAGCTGATCAAGTTTCGCAAATTTTTCATAGGAATTTGATAAACTGTTCAATCTCTCAGTTACATGTTTCCTTTTCTGCTCCTAAAGAGGAGGTCCCATATCTTGCTACTTTTGGTGATGGGGCCAACAACAAACACACAAAAGACGTTCTAAGCGTTTCCTTGGCGATGTTTAATAGGTCAGCCATCTAAATCTTATTTTGAACTATAGTTAATTTAATGGACGGAGAAAACTGTTTGACATTGGCTATATGTAGTGTTTCTATCTCAAATCTAAGCATCGTCTCTTCATTTCGATTATATAATTTTGTCAGGAAAGTGGTACTGAAATCGGATAAATTCAATAATTTTAACATTTCTTTTCTTTGAATTAGATGACTGAAATTTTTTGATAAAAAAAATATATATATTTAAATGGTTTCGGGGTGTTGTGAAAAAAGGGGGTAGCCCCCGGTTCGACTGCTCTGTGCAAAATACAGCCCGCTGTTTCTGGATTATTCACTGCACATGCTAGTTGTGGGCAGCTTTGAAGGGGATTATGGTTTGGAAATGTATCCACACATCATTTTTCACCTTTTGAATGCCCATCTTTTTTTTAATCTTTGAATTGAACAAACAAAAAAAAAAATTAAGAACTAGACACATACAACACCATGTAGGGAATAAATTAGTATTAAGCTTACTATCTACGAGATTCAAACTTAAAATTTTTCATTATCAATAAAAAATACTATTAAATTGCAGTACTAAGTTACCAATTTTGTTAACTATTGAACGCGACAAAATAGAAATTATATTTCCTTATAGGCTAGGATTAAAAGTTTGGGACTTGAGACCCCAACTCAAGACCTTGAACATGAAACCCCATATTTATGACCTTAAACTCGAAACAAACAATGAAATTTCTCCAATGCACATAAAAAATGTACATATTTAAGTTACACTTAAACAAGAATCGGTAGATATCGTTAGGCCAAATAATCTAATTGCTCTTGTACGTATATATAACTTAAATCTACACTTTGATGTGCATTGGAGAAACTCTTCCTAAAATAGCTCTATGTTTGACAGTGGTGAAGCGACCCACAAGGCTAAGGTGGGCTGTAGCTGACACACCCCGACCGGGATCGAGGCATGCTGGCCGTCATGTGAAGGTGACGTAACCATGTGCACAGTGCAGAAGCAATAAAGATAAGAAATATACGAATAAATAAAAACTGAAAGTTACTAATGTGCACTAATAAACAGGAAGTGCTAAGAGTGAGATACAAGTGTAAACACTTCTAATTAGAGCATAGAAAGTCTAGGTGGAGTCCAGTAGGACAAGTACTAGTTATACAGTATCAGAAGATGTCCTACAACTAATTTATTCTGTCAAAACTGCCGAAATCCTCAATGCCACCAACAACAAGTTTACCTAAAACCTGGAGGAACGCAAAACAGAAAACGTGAGTGGGCAAAAACAAATGTTTTACAAAACCATTTCATTTCTCAACAGTTCTAACCCCTCTTCGTAAAACATGTATAACTTTTCCCATAAATGGAATATAAACATATGCATAAATGTATATTTAATTATCTCAATTCAAATCATGCTTCACATAATCATAATCATAAGTATGCCATGCCAAGATGCAAATAAAATAAGTAATTCAGGTGAGAATAATTTCATGGAAGATAACATATTAGCCGAAACCCCTGCATAAGTCTGTACGGCTGAATTCATAGCTCATTAGTCAATCTAGTCAGAGTCACTACTATGACCTATATGGCACTACACTGCACACAAGTCGGAACCACTAAAAAGGGGTATGTACAATAAGATTGGGTGTAATATAATTATGCTCAATTCTACTCTCTCATGATAACTGGGTGATAATTCGCTAGTCACCTACGAGTCAGAACCACCTATGATGGTCTGTACGACAAGATTGTGCACCTAAATTGGATCCAATATGAGCATATGGTACGAGAGGTGACATTATATACAGGCCTGTGCCATATCTCTGGCTAATCACTAACACCGGGGTGCAGGTTTATGAGCTCTATGCTTCTCAATTAATCACAACTTTAATCACATTCACAATTCAAAAACTCATATGGGCTTACCTGAGCATCCACAACACCACATTCATATATTATGCATCATATAACAATCCGTATACAAAATATAAATCCATATGCATGGCATTCAAGGCATACTTTCATTTAAACGCATTTTCTGGGAAAATATCAAGTGCATAAATATATACTGAAAACCAAAAGCCCACTCACTGGTATGTCGAAGGGTTGTAGCCCCCGAGTCGCCCTTGACTGCGCTCGTCCTCAGGATAAGCCTCCCCTATATGCAAAATAACTATCATACATTATTTAAAGTACATAGACAAAACTAGCTAATAACTTCTCATACAATGCTCAAATGGGGTGTTTGAATATACCAACGTGATCTACACAACCTCACGAACATCCCCATATTTTTAAAATAATTTTCCGACCACCCACGAGCCGGCAAGTGCATGGCAATACTCGCGGCCACGCGCAGTGAACCCTAACGGAAACCCTAACTGCCGTTAAGAATATTCCGTTAAATAGTAATAGAATTCGTTAGTTTTACCTGATGGCGTCAGAATATTCCGTCAACTTTGATGAAATATTCCATCTTCTTCTCCGGTTAGACTCGCCGGTCGCCATCGCCGTTCATCAGAAACTGGAAAAATCACAGAAACCTTCATATCCTGTCCAAATCTCAACCAAATTCCACGAAACTTGAACCAATTTGAAGCTTAGGACAAGTAGAACAAAACATTACCTTTCATCGACGGAACTTGCCGGAAAATCCTTCGATATTTCGGCTAAACCTGCAACTCGTCGTATCTCAACTTTCCGACGTCCAAATCACTTCATTTTTCTTCTCCGAGCTTCGTGAAGA